AGAAACAATCCAGTGGACTCAGGATGCCTATATTTTATACTTCATTTTTGGGGTTTGTTTGTTGTTTTATCTTCAAACTCATTCTTTCATCTACTCCTGCCATCTCCATGATGTATACTCAGGTCTACAGGTAGTTCCAGGAGGTAGCAAGGTGTGAAAACTGGACAGCTTGCCTTGTATCTTCCCCCAAAACCTCAGGCAGGCTCCCATAAAATATACGCACTTAACATAGCAGCATGTAAGCATGTAATATTTAAATGAGAAGAGACCTAGAGTGGCCATACTGGCAAAGAAAACACCACCTGTTAGGTCTCACAGAGCTGCTTCCTTACTGAGATCTAAAGAAAACTAACAGAGTTGGCTATGGGTCCAAGCAGAAGTTTCACTTTAAAACAGCCATGTACATGACAATCTCGTGGCATCCACCTCTAGGGACTTATTTTTATTTGATTTAATTAGTCCCTATGCTGCTAGGTCTCAGGAGACATTGAATATTTTCAAATGCTCATAATTAGAAGCTTGGAAATAGTGAAAAGAACTTTTTTTCTTTTTTATATCTGGCAAGAGACTTAAGAAAGGCTGGACTCACTATCACAATCGGATGACTAGTTGTTCTTTAAATTCAAGCCCTTCAGCTTCTCTTAGGCCTTTCCATTGGTCTGACCTATGGGCTTTGGTGGTGTGATTTAACTGGCTCTTGTTGGGGAGTGTATTTTTAATATGAAAAATAACCACAAGGGATCCAGATTTTTCAGAGCAGCCTCTATTTCACACAGTCCGTCTCAGTGACCCATAAGAACACAAGCATGACTAGTTTAGGAGCTGAGAAAAATAGCCATTATAGTTCCTTATGGTTCATTTTCCAGATACTGCCTCTAAAGAGGACCAATCATCCAGGATGCCCAGCACTGTCTCAACCACTGGCACCTCCAACTCACTTAATTCAGCCACAAATTGGACAGGAAGAATGTAACCAACAGTTGAAAAAATTAACAACAAAAAAAGTAGGAAATAGCCAAATACGACCAGAGCCACAATTCTCCTGACTCAACATGCAACTATGTATACATTTTGATGCAGGGATAAAAAATATTAATCGTTTTCTCTTATTTCACTTCAATGTCCTGATCAATGCCCCTTCACTTGCTGACTTTGAGTGAAAGAGCCTTAAAGACAATTTTTTAAGTGAAAGACAGGAGCCTGCTGCATACTTCCTAAAAAGCTGGCTAGAGTGTAACATGTCCTGCCCTCTGGTTGAATTTCATGCAGTTAACGTCTTTTTCCAAGCTATAAGATCCTCCCTGGGTTTTTGATCTGGCCCTGACAACCCTACGTGATTTAGGAAAGAATGAGATGTAAATCCTTCAGGGTTGACTCCCTTACCCCCTTTATCAATTGCTATCAGGTTAGCAATGTCATTTCAGCAATAAGGGTACAAGTTATAAGAACAAAAAAACAGCCCTCACTCTATCCCCTGTTCTCTTGGTCCCTACCTCTTCCCCACTTGGGATATTCCTGTATAGGAGAGAACAGAATTGAGATCGAATTTCTGTGGAAATGAAAACACGTGAAGATAAAAAAAGGGCAACTTTCAAAGCAATATCTTGAATCTAAAGGCATTAAAAGAATATGGATGCCTCATTTTGCAGATTTGTGTATAAGAATATGCAATGACTGTATTATATATTTAGGGTTCCCATAGTAAATTATTTCTATTTTCACCTCAGTGCATGCTACACATTTTTTTATATGCTGCCAATAGGCAAACAATTTCAAATTAGGTGATTATAGGTTTTCGAAAATGGAATTACTTCTGACTCTAACAGGATGCAATACTTCCTGAGTGCCTCACAAATTCAATGTAATTACCATATGTTGTAAATTTGAATTTAGGCAAATTCCAAATCAGATGCTTAGGAGCCAGAAGAGACAGGAATAACGACAAGTAGCTCTGGAAAAAACTGGATGCAAGAGAGGGATGTAAGTGTGAATGCCAATAGCCATTGTTTACCTGTAGACTGGTGAAAGCTTTGATCTCTCTGCCTCCCCAAATCTTAGCACCTCATTGTCCTCATTAAAAAAAAAAACCTTAAAGGACCCTCCTAGCTTTCAATTTCTAAGATCAAGCAAAGTGGCCCAAAGATGTACAAGGGAAAAGTATATATAGGGAATTCCCTTTGCCAGTCTCTTCTAGAGAGAGGTCCTATAGATACAGGATAGGAACTGAAGTTGCTGAAAAATCATGAAAAGCAACAGAAAAGTAAGCATCACCCAGATTCGACTGGTCACCAAATCTACTCTATTAGGCACTGTTACAAGTAGGTTCTCGAAGTGTAGCCTGCATGCCACTAGGGGTAAAAATATTTTCATAAAAATATTAACATGTTAGTTGTTTTCTCTGTTGACACTGACACTCACAGTGCAAAAGAAGTTGTGGGTAAAACTTCTGCCACCAAAGAAAATAACTACTGTATACTTCAGCCCAAGTACTCCCAGTGGGGGTGGGCGGAGAGTCAGCTTCATTTAAGAATGCTCTTAGTAAAGCAATACAAATTACTGATTTTATTAGAGCTTGCTCCTTGAGTATACATCTTTTTAATTTTCTGTGTGACAAAATGAAGCTCACATAGAACACTTCTGTTGCCCACCCAAGTCCCACAGCTGTCTTGAGGAAAAGCAGCACTTGTGCGATTGTTTGAGCTGTAAACTAAGCAGGCCTTTCTTTCGAGGAATGCAAATTTACTTGTAAAAAATGACTGACAAGCTAAGGTGATTCAGTTTTCAGTATGTGGCAGACATTTGCAAAAAAGTGAATGAAGTGAGCCTACAACTGAAAGCATTTGTTGTCAATGACAAAATCTGAGCTGGTCAAGCAAAAACTAGAATTTTGGAAAACCTGTATTCACCACCATCAGTTTGACAGCCTCCCAATACTTAAAAGTATATTCTGATGAGTCTACTGATTATTGTCAAGTGTGAATGCTTTTAATAATGTGGAATAACATGTTCCAACATTTGAAAGATCAGAACAACTCAGTGAAACAATGTTTTCCAAATGACCGATGCACAATGTTAAGAAATCGTGTGTATATATCATGTATGGGTAAAAAGACTCATTCAAAGTACAAGACAGCACAATGGATTTCAACATAACAGAGCACAAAAAGTTCATTGATACTGTTTCAAACTCTACATTACATTTACCTTTAAAAATTAATTACCAAGATGAATTTTGTTGCACTACCAAAAAGAGAATATTCACAATTATCTGAAAAGAAAATTGTAAAAACTCCTTTTTCCAAGTGTGTATATGTGTAAGGTCATATTTTCACATACATCAACCAAAACAACATATCACAACAATTTGAACATAGACTCAGATAAGAGAATCCAGCTGCGTTCTATTAAACCATACACTAAAGAGTTGTGCAAAAATATAAAACAGTGTCATTAAAATTTATTTTGCTTTGGAATATGGTTATTTTTCATGAAATATTTATGTTAATTTCTAATTTATTATTTATGCAAATATATTTTATAGTTAAATTAAATGTTTATTAAATAATACATTATATTAAATACATACATTTCAAATTTATCATCTTTAATTTCTAATATAATAAACATCAATAGATTCAACCCACATAAGCAAAAGCTTATTAGGGTTCAAAATAATGTAAGAATATAAAGGGGTCCTGACACCAAAAAATTTGAGAGCTGCTGGTTTAGATAATAGGCTTTAGATTTGGGCATATCTAGGTTCAAATTTCAATGCTTCTAAGTTGTATGGACTTGAACAAGATACTTAATAGCTGTTCCTCAGTATTCTCATCTGTAAAATGGAGGTTCAGGGGCAAAGAGCAATAATAAAAAGATTTCTTTAAGAAATAAATGAAATATCATTTAAAGTGCCTACACTGTGCTTAATAAATGACAAAATGATTATGATCTTGATTTCCAAAAAAGCACCATCTAGGAATGAATTAATCATAGGATAGCTATTATACACAAACATACCCCCCCACACACACACCCATACATGTTGTATTCATCTTAAAAGCAGCCTCAGTCACTCTCCTATCTTTCCTCTTCTGGCCTGACCCAGCCAGCACTGATTCACAAAGATGCCTGGAAGTCCAGTTGGGAAGGCATTCACCAAGCAGTGTCTCAGCTCCTTCCCTTTTCTACAAACCTCCTCCCCTCCTTGCCAACTTGCCACATTCCTCCTGCAATCCCATGCCCGTTCTCTCAACTCCCCAATGAGATAAAGTGAAATAAGCATCTTTCAGAACTTCTGTAATCTCGCACTCAGGATGAAAGGCAATTTTCCATCATTACAGGCAGCTTTACAAAAATAAATTACCTGCAAGGAGAGAGAGCCTCAGTTCTACAGAATAAAGCCAGCAAATCTATCCAGCTTATCCTCACGACCATTTGAATCCTATCATCCTGACAGCCAAAGCATCCAGACATCTGCCTACTTAGACTCCATGGCCAGTGTGCTCTAACAGTCCTTGGTTCATTTCAAGGGTATTTCAAGTAATATCAAAAGCTTGGATAAGTCATAATACAATTCTTTATTATTATAGTTCTTAAGAGTAAGAGAATGGGATTATTTCTAGCTCAATTCTTAATACAATTTGGCTAAAAGAAAATTAATTTTCTTTCTCAGAAGACTGCTTCATTTACAGAGTTATAGGTTTGTATTATAGGTTTGTATCAAAACTCAGAACAATCCCTTGGCTTGACAAAGTTGCGGCTTAGAATGTTATCTCAGAAAAGCCCAAGACTTTAACCTTGAAATGCAAGCATGTGCCAAGAATAATTTTTTAAGGGCAAGTAGACTTTAAACTTAATACCTCCTTTTAATTTCTGAGAATCACAATCTGTTAGGCGTCAGGGTCATTTAAGATAGAGAAAATAACACTTTCTGCATGGAATTCCTTAGGACATATTATATAATATCGTTTAATTATTAGTAGATACTATTTCCAACAAGTATAACAACAAACAATAACTATCATATACTGAGTAACTACTATGTATCAGATCCTATATTAGGTTTTTTATAAGTTATCTCACCTAATCTTTACAATATTCCTATTAGGTAAGTACTATTATCCTAATTTTATAGATAAAAACTTAACTTAGGTCACATGGTAAGTAAGTACAGAGAGCTTATGTAACCTATCTTAAGTCAAATAACTAAAAAAGCGGCATGGCAAAAATCTTATTTAAAAAAGAACTTTAAAAAATCTTAAAATATCTCTCTTTCCATAAGGCAAATGGGCACCCAATTATCTTTCTATTATGGTACCTTAAAGAGTGCAATAAAATCTATGGATCCCTTACATAGCACCCTGCATTCCAAGAATTCCCCCATTGTAGTAATTGATTATTTTCATCATCACTGAGTAATTCTTCAGAAGATTTCCCAATCAAATGAGGTCAACCAAGTCAGTCAGTTTACATAATAAAGAGTCCAGTTCAGGTTTGGGTTTTCAGGACAGGCAAAATAGGTCAAAATTTCAGTGCGTGATTTCAATCCATGTAAATTTTTGCCAGGAATTGGTTGCACACAACCAGATAATGCATCTCCATGAATTTTTCTGTGGCTAAAGCCAAAGCTTTCAGAGTGTCTCACATAGGTTGTAGACAAGGGAAAACTGCAGCTGGTGAAGATGAAAGAAACAGAAGAATCTTTCAACATGCCTATAGTATCCTAAACAACAAACTACTCCAATTGCTTGCAGATTGTACTGGCTTCAACCCAACCAGGGCTTTTCTATTTAGCCGACTTGTATTAGAAATGATCATCTTGCTTTGGTATTTGATGGTCAATTTCACATTATTTCAGCAATGCTTGAAGAAAAGCCTTTTGACAATATGTAGAAATCCTGGCTGCAGCCCATTTCACCATTTTCAGTCAAGGAGTGCCAAAGGCATGGGGTTGGACCATACCAAATGGAATCTAGTTCCTGATCCATAAATATTGGAAAGAATTTGAATTTTCTAGGTTTGGATGCCCAACTATATTAAACTACCACCATCTTCACCCCCAAAAGACAAGCTTCATTGCTTTGATCCCAGAGCACTGATTATCGTGTTTATTTTCAAAGAAAGAGTTGCCAGGGTAAGCTATATAGGGAAAAGAACAGAGCATTTTGTGCCAAAACACCTAGCTCCACGACAGCTGTAGACTTTGTGCAATTCACTTACCTTCTCTAGTCCTTAATTCTTTTAATCTGTAAAATGAGGAATTAGGCAATCCTTACTTCCTCTCCTAGGTCTAAAATTATGATTCTATGCTTCATTGTTCTAAAGTCCATTTTCTGAGACAAAGGATAGAAGCATCTCATTTTTTTCAACACTTCATTCTCAAGGCAACAAACCTGTCAGGTTATCATTTGGGAAATGAACATTCTCACCCATCACACTATAAATCACACTAGCATTTCTACAATTTAGAAGAGCTTATCCTGAAATAACTATCATTTGGGAAATGAACATTCTCACCCAAAGTCCATCACACTATAAATCACACTAGCATTTCTACAATTTAGAAGAGCTTATCCTGAAATAACTGTACTAATTAACCATTTGAATGGCTCATGCCCAGAACAGGCTGAAGTAGAAGTAAACTGATATTTATATAATACATCTATTTTACCGGATATTCTGTAAAAGTATAATATAATATACATATAAAATTTCATTTACAATAGACCTGCAAAGAAGGTCACAGCGGAAAATTCTAAAAATCTATAATCCTCTCATCATAAAGCTGAAAGAATCAAAACACAGTGGGGTAAAATAACTTGCTCAATGTTAAACAGATACTTTGGGCAGAACTAAGGCTGCAAAATCCAATACCCGATATTCTGCCTTGGAGATAAACCATCTTATTTTAAGGTTCTGTACAATTATGCCATCCCAGGAGTAAGGGAGAATAAAATAGAGTTGTACTTGCCTGAGGCAAATCAACCATGCTGCTGTGTCAAAGAAACTCTCAGAAGTGCTTAGTGCAAAGATTCCCTGAACTTTATTTTCCCAGAGTAGATTTAGACGTCATGGTCCTGAGATCTTGAGATGTATGAAAAAGAGACTCAGAACAACATGTCTGAGTGCAATGAGGTGGATCATGTGACATCCCTCCAGCTTCCATCTCCTTCTAGAAACTCCAGGGAATTGGGGAAAGCGGAAGAAAGCAGCTTCAACTAACCAGCTTGGAGAGCTACAGTGAAGGCTTCAAGATTTTCCAGTTTCTCAGTCTACATCTACTCTTGAGGGTCCCTGATTGCCAGAGAATTGTTATACACAGACAAAACCAAGCACTTATCACAAATTGCCCATATTTACTGCATCCAAAGAAATAGAGAATTATTATAAATACCCCAAATCAGGGATTATCTGTCCTGCTCTTACTGATTCTTGTACAGTGAGCAAGTACCAACAAAGATTCCACCCATCTCAACCTGTGTCTTTTAACTTAAAATGAACAATAACGAAACCAATTCTTTGGATATGATTCAGTCACTGTAAAGTGTCCAAAAGCTGTAGAGCTAACATGTGAAAGGGGCATACTTACCCAATGTGGTTGGTTCTTAAAGAGATTTCCAGTTCTCTCAGCACTTGTGTAGATTCTTGAACACGCCGTCTGAATTTCTATAATTCAAGAACACATATTCTTGCAAAACATATTTTAGCAACACTATAACTGCAGATTACCTATAATAAGTTTAACTCAATATGAAAAATATCTTCACTTTTAAAGTAGGCTTCTCTCACATTCTCACATTTCTTTTTTTCTTTGCAAAGTACACAAATTTTTCTCATCATGAAAATTAGCTTATGGAAAAAGGACTAGAAAAACTACTACATGAAATAAGTGCTTTGAGTAAGTAGATCATTTTTTTCCCACCCCACAAATACAACAGTATTCACCAATATATCTATGAGTTGGAGACCCCAAGACCACCCCCAGTTCCAATGATTCACTAAGAGGACTCACAGGACTTGGCATATAGTTACACTCGTGGCTATAACGTATTACGGCAAAAGAATACAAAGCAAACATCAGCAGAAAAAAGGTGTACTTGGTAAAGTATGGAGGAAACCAGCGTAGGCTTCCAGGAGTCCTCTCCATGAGGAGTCACAAATGGCAACATGTACGTAACTCTTTAGAGACTCACTGTCCAGGGTTTTTATTGGGGGCTGCTCTGCTAAGCACTCTCTGCTTAACATATAACCAAACTTCCAGACTCCCAAAAGAAAAACAGGTATTCAACATTAAGTATGCTGTTTTCATAAGCAATTTAGGCACAGTAAGCCAGTCTTATCAAGGAATGTTGGGAACCCTCCCAAATTACAAGTTCCCAAATTCCAGCCAAGGGCCCAACCTTGCAAGCAGGCCTTTCTAAGGATAGCAGTCTCAGGCCTGCTATGTTAATTCTTCCCTGCATGACATAACATGTTCCAAAAATAAACATTCAGAGTGACCCCTGCCCCTTATTCCTCACTTGGAAGATCCTTCCTCACTCCTGTCCCTACAAAGAATGCCCTTCCTCATTCCCTTGCCTATCAAAACCCCACCTATCCTTTCAGGACTCCCCCGGGGTGCTACACTTCTGCAACTGCCTAATGACTCGGTGGGACTCAAGTGACTTCCGTCCTGCATCATATTATCTTGGGAACAATCGGCTCAATTTTCATCTGGACTCTGGACTACAGAGAAGCCTTGGCATTCACTTCTCTAACACATACACAATGAGTGCTAACACTGCATTTCTAAAATGTATCCCGAATGCTTTAAAACACTTCAAAGAGAAATCATGTGTCTGTAGGGACCAGCAAAAGGAGCCAGCCAGGATCCACTAGCAGCCTGTACTATCCTCTCTCCCCTCCTCACATATGAGGGCCCAGGGATGAGCCCGCGGAGGCAGCTGAGCCCTGGAGGAGCCACACAATTAGTCTCATTTCACAACTGCAGAGCAGCAAAGGCCCAGACTCCTTTCTTCATGGTCTGTAGCCCTTCCCCATGCCAGACATGAACACAACATCCCAAAGCACTGACTAATAACCGCCTGGTATTAAATGAGGAGGCTGGTTTGGAGGGTTCTGGCCAGAGATATCTAATTTAGGCTCTTCCTTCCCTGCCCCAGAGGATTTCGTTGAAAACTATTGAGAAGAAAATCTAAATAGAATATGCTTGAGAAATTTTTTTAAAGAGCAAATTAAGTATCTTCTATTCAATTTGAACAAAAGATTAATGAACGAAATATTCGAGGACTCCAGACACAGTTACAGGAAGACTGCTCAGCCTAAGCCGTCTGGCTAAAAATTAAAGCCTTGATTTGTAATCCCCCCACCCCCATCATAATACAGCTGAGAATTTTTAAGCTCATTTTAACTGTAAGCCATGCCTTATTCCAAACAAGACTCCCTTTTCCAGGCTTTAAGCATTACAATCATGTTGTGTGGAACAGGTCATTTCCTAGTGCCAGCTCCTGACAGAAATCTTACTAAAGCAGAGGTGGTTAATCCAACACCCATTTTACTTTTCTGAGCTGAATGACTGATATGGAGAGATGTGGCACAGACCCAGCAAGGCCATTCAGGTGAACACACAGTCCAGGGCAGAGAAGTCAGGCCCAAATAGAGAGCTTTTGAGTTTATTAAGTTATTTTATTAAGTTATTTGTGTGAAAGCAAACACTTTCTGAGAAGTACATTTGTTATTTTTGGTTTTTTCTCTTTGCCTTAATCCAGAAATAACTGATCTAAGGAGAATTGGGACTGTGCCAGGAGAAAGCCCACCTTCCCTGTAAGCACCTTCCTTCTTAGGGAATTTGGGACTGGGAGTCTAACAAGCACTCTCTAGGAGTATACATATTTTCTCCTTTCTTTTCAGAATTTGGAGAACGTCAAGATTACCGCTTTGGGATGGAGCATACTCTGCATGAAGGGAGATCTTGGTCTTGTGTACAAACATTGGCATTTCTGCCTCACTCAGCTCAGGTGAACATGCCTAATGCTGGGGTCTGAGCCATGCAGCCTGGAGCTTACAAGTTGGGGGATTTCTGAAAACCTTTAGGAATCTATTCTAAAATAGAATCTTGCTGCCACTATGCAAATAAATAGTACACAAAAACACCTGGGTTTTGGGGGGTTTTGGTTTTGGGGGGTGGGTCGTGTGGTTGTATTTTGTGTGTATGGGTGTGTCTTCTTGTATAGTCCTCTCTAACCTGATGAAATTAAGGCCGCTACATCCATAAAGAAGGAGACAAGAGGGAAACTGACAAGAATTAAGCAGCTGTCTCATTTGGAGGGCCTGACAACAGGTCTTTGAAAAAAAGTGCACGTGCCATATTTGAGGGGAGAAGTATTATGATACCTTGACAGGTACATTCTCAGAAGGCAGGGCTGTGTCACATTCAAGTCACATATGGCATACAGCCGACAGTGAAAGTCTGTACCCCACTTTCATCATCACTCTAGATCTTGTTCTTCCTTGTCTGTATGTTAACCACAGGACAAAGGCCTAGGAAACTTCCAAAAATAAATAATAGCAGTTCTCCATTGCTTGACTTTTGGGGGGACTGTAGGAGGGAGGGGGAGAAAGGATTAGAGTAGAAGAAGATGAAGAAAAAAGAGAAAGTTTTTTTAAAATACAAGAGCCAAGAGCCTGGAAATAGTAGGTAACCAGGAAAAGTGTGCCTTTCTTTTCTCATGAGTCACATACTGAAACAACAGAGGGAATTCAGCTTGAGATGTTTTTGCTGGAGCCTTGAAAGCAGTTGTAGAAGGTCAATGGAAAAACAAGTGTTATCTGGTGAAGAGCCCCTTCACCCCTCTTGACCAAGGACAGCTCTGCCCTGAGACACTGCAGGACCAATCCAGGCCCGCGGGGCTGTGCCAGGCTACATGCTTTACCACAAGGCATCAGTTTAAACCAATTGTGTGGCTGCACAAAGCAGGGCTTGTTTGTAAAAGGAGAGAGTCCACTGAGAATGGAATCAGCTATTCTTTCCTTACCTCCTTGGGGCCAGAGGCAGGGGCTGGGGCAGGAGGAGCTGCTAAAAGCATCAACACAGGATGCGAATGCACAGCTGGGATGACAAAGCCCCAGTGATTTCTCAAGGTCTCTGGAAATGCACCAAGGCATGAAAGACAAGCATTCCCTTTGCAAGGCCTGCTTTTCTAGAAGCCTAAACACCTCTGGGCTGGACTCACTGCCCTGTGTAATTGAAAATAGCAGTGGCTCAATAACCATCAGAGGTATGTGACTCCCATCTCAGGAAAGTACTTTTAAACACATGCCCAAGTGAGAAGTATGGTTTGTTTCTTTGTCTCCTCTTGTTGCTGGCCTTCAAAAATTATTTTCCTGGAGGCTCTGGCAGAGGCTGTAATGCAGAGGAAGGAAGGTCTCTTCCAATGCAGGAGGGTTTTGCCCACTAATGAGGAAGCAATGACAAAGTGGAAATAAATCCATCTTACCTTCCTGGTTACAGCTGGATCCAGATAGCCTTTGAGCTTTTGAATGTAAGTATGGGGAGGATTCTTCACCTGGAATCGTTCCTGCAGGAACAAAAATAAAAAGCATGAAAGGTATGGAGGCATGACAGAGATACAACAAACAGATAAATGTTACTGACCCATGACCAAAATGCATTCACAACATGAATGTGGCCCTGCAAATAATCATTACATACTAATTGTTTTGAATCTTTGTAGGAGATGATGTGATCCTCTCTTTGCATAGGAGGAAAATGAATGCTCAGAGGAATGCAGTACTTCCTTCTGGTGACACAGCTAGTTACGGGTACAAGTGGGTTCCAACCCATGTATGTCCAACCCCAGAGTCTATACTGCTCCCTCTGTAGGGCCGTGCAGCTCTAGTTTTAGGAATGATGCTTTGCCCATCCTGTTTCAGGTCCTCTTTTAGCAAGTTTTCAATCTATCACATATTCTTTTAAATATTTTCAATGTTGGCAAGTCTTTGTCTTTTGGAATATTTATTTTATCTTTGAAAATGAGCAAAGCCGTCACTCAAACTGGATAAAACTAATGTGTTTTTAAAATGAGTAATGAGTTCATTGCTAGGAGACTGGAATGTGGGAGCATGTGTGGATTTATGTGCACATGCATGCACGTGTGGTACCATTAATGGTAATGGTTCCTAAGGCATTTCCAAATTAGAAGATCCAAAAATATTCTGAGCAAAGGCACAGCCATTGGAACAAGCACAAATATATATTATATACCAAGGTGATATTTGAATGTAGGTCTGGGACAGGGCCTGAAAATCTGCATTTCTAACAAGTTTTAAGCTGATGCTGCCCACAAAGGGACCACACTTTGAGAAACTCATGAACATGTTTATCAGGTTTTATAGACCATAATATCCAAAGCAGAATAGGCAACAGTAAAAACCTGGGTGAAAACCAAATATCCACAAACCATAAAATGAATAAGTACTTGTATTACATTCTTACAATGGTATAGCATATTATAATGAAAATGAACAACGTACTGCATGTTCCTACAGATGGACTTTACAATCCTGATGTTGAGCCAAAAAAAACATAATAGGCAAAATTACACTTTAGTGGTTAGGGATACATACATACTCAGGTGGTAACACTATACATATATATGTATAGTTTTATATTGGGGGGTTGGGGGGGTATATTTGGAGATGGTCAGCCTAAAAGTCATGGTTGGAGGACTGCAGTGGGGGCAAGGGTTGTGATCAGGAGGGGAAACACAGAGCGCTCCCAAGAGGCCAAAACATTCTATTTCTTGACCTGACCAGTAGTTACACAGGTGCAGCTTTACACTACTTATGCTGGTTCTTAGGTTTCACAACTTTTCCCATATGTATGCTGTGTTTCTCACACAAAAAAAAGTTTAATCAGCTCTAAAAGAAAAATATTTGGGGCCGGCCCGGTGGCGCACTGCTACAGTGCGCCGCTTGGGAAGTGCGGCGGCGCTCCTGCAGAGGGTTCGGATCCCACATACAGACCGGCCGCTCACTGGCTGAGCGAGGAGCGGGGGCAACACCGAGGGTTGCGATCCCGTTGCCAGTCCCGGTCCAGTGCGGGCGCGACACTGAGGGTTGCGATCAGTTGCCGGTCACGAAAAAAGACAAAAAGACAAAAAAAAAGAAAAATATTTGTCATGAAATGGGACAATTCTTGTGTGCGTGTGTGTGTGTGTGTGTGTGTGTGTGTGTGTGTGTGTTTTAACCTACCCAAAAGATGTTTTGAAAAATATTTGTCATGAAATGGGACAATTCTTGTGTGTGCGTGTGTGTGTGTGTGTGTGTGTGTGTGTGTGTGTGTGTGTGTGTGTGTGTGTTTTAACCTACCCAAAAGATGTTTTCCAAGTAACTCTCTTTAACCTGATTATTGCTTACTCCACAATAAACTGCTTCGGTATTTCACAATACTGACAATCATCCAGCATGTTTAAGCATTTGTTTATCCTATATAAGCTTATATTTCTCCAACACAGGGAACCACAACATTCTTCCTGGCCCTCTCAAGCCTTGCTTGATCACAGATTTAGAAACGCTAAAGATCTTACTAAACTTGAAAAGATCATCTTATTATTGAAAATTTATCTTTTATTATTGTTTAATACTTTAAAATAGGAGGAAATAAAAAAATAAAATAGGGTGAAGTAGGTTGTAGTAAGACAGCTATTAATATTTCCCCTTTATTTAAAAATGATCATGGTGAATTTTATAGTACATAAACTATATCTCAAAGCTGTTATTAAAAAAAGATCAGCATAGTGTTTCTAAATTATTCTCTCAAATTTTCCATCCTGAGAGCAACTTCTAAATAATGATTCATAAGTATTCAACATCTTTAGTGTCATCACTGTGCCAGTGTATAAAGTCTTTTTTTTTTTAATCATTATCATTTCACTAAGGGATTGTTCTGCCATGGGGATTTCACAATAGCCCAGCTGAGGGCTAAAATAATCACAAGAAGCTCTGAAAAATGAACTGATGAGCTATCTAGAAACGAGTCATTATTTCCAACCTTGTGTATGACAACAGCTGATGCCAGAGAGATACTGGGATAGAAATAAAAATTATACTTTTTAATAATACAATGCCAATAATTGAAATTTTTTTTAAAAAACCTATGACCAATGACAACTCAAAGTCCACTCTCTTCTGCTATAGCAAATACCTCTATCCCTAAATATAAGGTCCCTAATGTATGAAACAACAAATTGTAACTCTGGCCAATACAGTATTTGCTTCAGGACCTAAAATGTGAACTTGCTGACAGCTGTTGAGAGACTTCTAATTTTTGGTTCTCATAAGCTATGTCTTCACAATAGAAGAGCCACATTTATTCCTTTAAAATAACAAAATTTGGTTGAGTGGCACATGTAACACATTGGCATCCACTCAATTAGTGAATCCCATTTTCAACGGTCAGTAAATGCAGCTTTTCCACTTCCTACTTGAGACTGTGGTGACTCAAAGGGGCTTTCCCAAGTATACACATTTACTGGTCCCATTGACTTGATTATATTCCCTTAAGACCTGAAATTATGGACAACGTCTAAACTTAATAAACTGTAACTTTTTCAAATGTGCTTAACATTTGCTCTTGTGTTTTTAGGCACATTTTTCTCTTGTTTGAGTAACTTACTGATGTATTTCCAAGAAAGAGAAAATAAAGAAACCTGATGCTTTAAAACACAGTTGGTCACATTATATTTACTTATAAGAAAACTCAGCCTACTTACAGTGATTCAAATATAACTGTTAGGGAGGAAGAATACAAAGCCCCACTTGTTTCACTAAAACTTGGAGTTGTTTGTCTAATATCTATCTGAAGGAGCTACTGTCTGAGTTATAAATTCAGCGCCTGATTCACCAAACCTTTCCATTTTCAATACGGACAGTAGAAACATTTGGGGGAATACAATGGAAAATTTCAGCACCTTGCTAAAACATTTATTTTGAAGGACTTTGGATGCATTACAGGCATCATAATTATTTAAATTAAGACTTTTTTTCTCTAAATATCAGAATTTTAGATTCTGCATTAAAACCCAAAACTGCCATGGTTGGCAGTTTTCCATCACCTTCACTTCTAGAAATACTTCCTATCCCACTATTTTCAATAAATAGCATATGGGATAATAGCTATTACCTGCTTGCTCAAAGTCATTGATATGGGTACCTTAATTAAGTACTCAACTTGAGTTACACCGTATAGAAATGTTATTCTTAGGGACAAAAATATTCTTTAATCATGGCAATTTATCAGTATGAATTGATAAGTGAAAGAGCTTTTAAAATATAAATGTCCTTCCAAATGTCTAAGCACACAGTATCACCACTACCCTGACCTCCTGCCATTTATCTCTTTGTGTGATCAAACTTTCTTTATGAAATGTTTCAGGATGGGAAATATCAATTGCTCCAGGTTCTTAATCATTCCCAACAAGCAGTCAAAGAAAGGAACTTGGAGTCATTTATTAACATTCAGGTACACTACACTGACAAACTGCATTGTCAGGGGTTTGGAAGGAAGAGGGTGAGAATGGGCCTTAGAATTACAGAATCTTCATTAAGTTTCCATGTCATTTGCAAATATTTTACTTTAATAAATTAGTGTTAGGAATTCAGTTTCTATTCAGTACCTCTCTCTGGTAATGATCAGACAATTTCTTCTCACTGCTAAAAGTGACATCATTTATGCAAGCTCAGGAATATGATTACCTTCTTGTGTGGGGCAGCACTTTTTACTTCTCAAAGATTATTAACTTATCTTTCAATGACACTTCGTAGTTTATCATATTCTTTAGGCCTCTTAGCTCACTCAAGCCTACATACCTGATATGTGGCAAGTAGACAGTAACTCCACCTTATAGATAAAGAAACAGGCTCAGAGATTAAATGACTTGCATGAAATAATATACATATATGTCAGATCAAAGGTTCATACTCAGATTTTCCGACTCTCTGATCCTTTTTCTTCTCACTACACTGTAATAAGCATGTTCATCTTGAATTTAATAGTAGAAAAGTTTTTTAAAAGGTAGAAACACCTTTCTTCATTAAGTCCCAGTATGTAGTAGAATACTTGACACACAGCTGGTCCTCAATAATGTTCAAAGAATTAAACTTCTTGTAAATGTCATATACAAGTCACTTCTCTCATAAACTACAAGTAAGCATTTAACATTTAAAAATACACATATACACACAGAGAGACTGTAAACGCACACAGGGCATACACCAAGCAGATGCAGTGACGGACACAAGTCAGCCAAACACATCATCAGAGCTAAAGGACATGTGTTGATGGGCCTTTGCTGTGTCTTTAATGGTTCTGAAACTAATGCCTTTCATAATTACACATTTCTCATTAACCCAATCCACTAAGGTTTGGTGCTAGCCTCCCCTTCCCCTACTGATCACCAGGAAGGTTAGGCTGCCTACACACAGGCCTGCCCGGCAGAGAAGGAAAAGACAAAGCATTTGTTGGACTCCACTTAACAACTAAGGCTCAAGTTTCACTAAGGTTTGGTGCTAGCCTCCC